GTCAGTGGTGAGGTTTACATCACTCGACGGTGGCTTGGGATCGGTGAAGTGAGACGGTGCTGGTACAATTCAGGTCCATATTCTTTACTCGATCCATTTACGCAATTTCTTGGGGCTAAATGGCCTCTACATATTATAGTTCAAACTTCTAAGTGAAGCCCATTAAGAATCCAACGGGCTTCAAGTTGTATTTCTCTGTAACTATTTGATGGGTTTCTTTGGACTTGGGCCTTTCTAGTTCTATATATATTTTTATTTTTTTAAATTGCAAAAAATCAAACACGTTGTAATTAACTAGTCACAAGGATATATATTTTGTTTTTCTGAAATTTAAGCTATCAAATATAGTCATTAGTTCATTGGATATTAATTTTATTAGATTGTTATTTTAGCTAAATCTTTTGGATAGTTATTAGTAATTTTTGATAATTTTTTAGTGAAATTTCGATAATTAATTGTAAAATTTTAATATTATCTGTTTGATATTAACATTATGAGATTTATTGGTTTGAGTAAATTTTAGGTTAAATATGAATTTTGATCCGTTGAAGTTTTTACATAATTTTCATGTCAATAATTTGGGCGGGATTGGAAAATTTTTGTCGGTAAAATGGGTAGAAGTCTTTCCAACATGAAGTTGGTTTGGGCAGGATTGAAAAATTTTTGCACATTTTGGATTCCCAAGTGCAAGCAACATTATGATGTGCATTTTGTCCATAAAATAACTCCGACAAGAACCGCATTGGTAAAATACCTTTTATATTACCACAACACCTTAACCCGCTCTGTTCTTCTTTCTTTCTTTCTTCTCCTTTTTCTTCTCCTCCCTTCTCTGTTCCTCCTCTTTTCTTCCATTATTCAAATGCTGCTAGATTAATTGTATTATGTTTATAATTACATTATATTCATTTAATTTTAGGTTTGTATCTTCTTAATTTCCTCTTTTTTTCTCTTCCATTCTTTCTCTTTATTTGATTAAACACTAATTTGTGTTATTAATCAATTTAATCGCAATTCTAACTTCTTTTTTTTTTAATTTTGTTTTCCAAGAAACATTGTTGGGAGAGACAATGGTATGGTTAAATCAATTTTATTTATGTAAACTACCATTTAATTTCATTTCTATTTTGATTATTATTATTTGGTTGAAATAATTATATATAAATAATAACTTGATTTATGTT